AAGCTGCTCCAGGATTGGCCAGCCCAGTCACCAGACATGAACATTATAGATGAAGGAGGAGACATTGAAGATTGATCCAAAGAGTCTTGATGAACTCTGGGAGTCCTGCAGGAACGCTTTCTTAGGCATTCCAGATGACTTTATTAATCAGTGATTTGAGTCATGTCAGAGATGTATGGATGCAGTCCTCCAAGCTCATGATGGAGTCAGACACAATATTCATTCATTCTCCTTGGCACCACGGATTTGATAAATTGTAATTGCACATCAAAGTGATTTTGACTGAATCAAGGCATAACCCAGAATGAAATTGAATGCAATATTTGCTGCAAAAGCAGGTTTTATTTTGACAGTCTGACTTTCTAGACTTCAGACTAAAAGTCAGAGTCCATTTAACCTTTGCTAGATGGTCATCACCCCATCATCATCTCTACGGGGACCTGGAAAGGACAGACCTGTCAACACGTCTCCCTCCAGAGCCACTATCCTCCTTCACACCTCACTTTTCCATGATGCTTTTATCACCCAGGGAGTAGCATTGATTCCATTAACTCAGCATTTCCTTCCCTCTTCGTGACAAAGATGCTGCAAAAACTGGGAGCAGGCAAGATGTGACATGTCTGCTTAAAGTCTGCAGCACTGTTGCACGAATGCATGGGGGCTAATAATTCTTCAATTACAGTTCTAAGGCAGTTATGACGCCTTTAACCGTCATCTTAAACATGTTTAATATTTTGATAAAAAAAACATACAATTGAATACCTTTCTTTCTTTCTTTCTTTCTTTCTTTCTTTCTTTCTTTCTTTCTTTCTTTCTTTCTTTCTTTCTTTTACATATTTACTTATTTACTTATTTTATTTATTCACTTATTTACCTACTTGTTTTATTTATTTACTCATTTTATTTACTTTTATTTACTTATTTATTTTTACTTACCTTCTTATTTACTTTATTTATTGATTTGTTTGTTTACTTATTTATTGACTTATTTTATATGTTTATTTATTTATTTATTTATTTATTTATTTATTTATTTATTTATTATATATTTTCTTTCTCAAATATTTCCCAAATGATGTTGAACAGAATCACGAATTTTTCACAGTATGTCTGATAATATTTTTTCTTCTGGAGAAAGTCTTATTTGTTTTATTTCAGCTAGAATAAAAACAGTTTTTAATATTTTTAAAATCATTTTAAGGTCAATATTATTAGCCCCCTTAAGCAGTATTTGTTTTTCCGATTGTCTACTGAACAAACACAATGTTTTATACAATGTATATGTTATACAATGACTTGCCTAATTACCCTAACCTAACCTAGTTAAGCTTTTAAATGTCACTTTAGGCTAAATGCTAGTATCTTAAACATATCTAGTCAAATGTAATGTGCTGTCATCATGGTTTCCTCGAAAATGGTGTTGAATATCGAAATTTTTCAAGGTATTGTATCAAAGTAAGAAAATCCAGTATTGTATTATGACACTAATGACTCTGTGACTGTAGAGTACATGGACATTTGAGTTTTTAAAAAAGTTTATTACATTCGTAAATAAAATGAGTTTCTAAATGAATTTGGGACCAGTGATTTTAATTTTTTGATATATACTTTCTTTCTTTCTTTCTTTCTTTCTTTCTTTCTTTCTTTCTTTCTTTCTTTCTTTCTTTCTTTCTTTCTTTCTTTCTTTCTTTCTTTCTTTCTTTCTTTCTTTCTTTCACATATTTACTTATTTATTAACTTATTTGCCTACTTGTTTTATTTATTTACAAATTTTTTTACTTATTTTATTTACTTTTTTATTTTTTCTTACCTTCTTATTTACTTTATTTATTGATTTGTTTGTTAATTATTTATTGACTTATTTATTTACTTATTTTATGTTTATTTATTTACTAATTTATTTACTTGCTTGTTTACTTATTTAATTATTTATTTACTTACCTATTTTTAATTCTTTTTTTTACTTATTTACCTACTTATTTGCTACTTATTTTTTATTTACTTATTTATGTTTTTACTTACCTTCTTATTTAGTTATTTATTTATTTGTTTGTTTACTTATTTAATTATTTGCTTAATTATTTACTTATTTACTAATTTATTTGCTTATTTACTTATGTACCTACATATTTTATTTATTTATTTATTTATTTATTTGCTCGTTTGTTTGTTTGTTTACTAATTTATTAACTTATTTATTAACTTATTTATTTACTTATTTTATTTGTTTATTTATTTATTAATTTATTTACTTATGTGCCTACTTATTTTTTTATTTGCTTACTTGTTTGTTTACTTATTTAATTATTTATTTATTTACTCATTTACCTATATTTGTTTTATTCATTTACTTATTTTATTTACTTATTTATGTTTTTACTTATCTTCTTGCTCATTTACCTATTTATTTATTTGTTTGTTTATTTTATGTACTTGTTTGTTTACTTGTTTAATTATTTGCTTAATTATTATTATACACTTATTTACAACACTATTACAAAGTATTTCTTCTTGATTCCAGACCAGAGGTCTGGGTGGGGCTGATTTTTATACTCCCACCGCTCCCACCATTCTGTCTCCACTGCAGCAGGACTTTATATTCTATACTGGATATTATTTCTGTTCAGTGATGACACTTTAGTCTCTAGGTTAAGTCAGACTTTACTGTCCTAACGAAATCATTAATAATCAAGGCATGATCATATTTTATTGTGCTCAAATAAGCAAAATCTAGAAGCCTTTGCCTTTCATATAAGCCACTTCTGATACCAAACGATCAACTATCTAGTCAAGTTATCCCTAAATAGGCAACAAGACTTTTGCCAAGTAGTGTATTTCTAATAAAGTGTAGTGTTGTCAGTATTTGTTGTGGTGTTGGGTTTTATCCTCCTGTGGAGTGGATGAAAAGTGTCCTGTTGAGTGTTTTTGTTGTTCACCGCTGGATTTGAGTGGGATTATGGGCTGTGTGAAGGTTTTTTCTCCATTTTGCGGCAATCCTAACTTTAAAAAAGCTTGTGTTTCATGTTGTACATTTAGTAGAATCCAGCACACCAACATAGCCGTGGCTGCTGTCTTTGTTGTTGTATTTTTTGTTTAGCTTTTTGCATCAGTGCACATTATCCTAATGTTTCCCCCCTGAGCCATGCTTTAGTTCATTGTTGGACATCATATTGCATAATTTTGGCATCAGGTTTTTGCCGTGCTCTCTAAATGCATGTTTGTCTCCAAAAGGGCTTACTGAAAAGGATATCAAGAAGAAAGAGGTTAAGCCTCGTCTGTGAAGGGCTTTATTTCTGTTGTTAATCTCTGACGGACCCCTATGGTGCAGTGAAATCAGAGATTATGCTTCATATATGACACTAATGACTCTGTGTCTGTAGAGTACATGGACATTTCAGCTGCTTTAATGGAGGAAAAATATATACTTTTTAAATTTGTTTACATTAAATTTCTTTCTTTCTTTCTTTCTTTCTTTCTTTCTTTCTTTCTTTCTTTCTTTCTTTCTTTCTTTCTTTCTTTCTTTCTTTCTTTCTTTCTTTCTTTCTTTTACATATTTACTTATTTACTTATTTTATTTATTCACTTATTTATACTTGTTTTATTTATTTACTCGTTTTATTAACTTGTATTTACTTATTTATTTTGACTTACCTTCTTACTTATTTACTTTGTTTATTGATTTGTTTGCTTACTTATTTATTGACTTATTTTTTATTGACTTATTTATTTACTCATTTTATATACGTTTATTTATTTACTAATTTATTTACTTGCTTGCTTGTTTGTTTATTTATTTAATTATTTATTTACTTACCTGTTTTTATTTATTTATTTACTTATTTACCTGCTTATTTGCTACTTATTTTTATAAACATTTTTTATTTACTTATTTACCTACTTATTTTATTTATTTACTTATTTTATTTACTTATGTATGTTTTTACTTACCTTCTTATTTACTTATTTATTTATTTGTTTGTTTACTTATTTAATTATTTGCTTTAATTTTTACTTATTTACTCATTTATTTACTTATGTACCTACCTATTTTTAATTTTTTTGTTTGCTTGTTTGTTTACTCATTTATTAACTTATTTATTTACTCATTTACTTATTTTATTTGTTAATTTATTTATTTACTTTTTCACCTACTTGTTTTATTTAATGTGCTTATTTTATTTAATTATTTATGTGTTTACTTATCTTCTTGCTTATTTATTTATGTATTTATTTTATTTACTTGTTTGTTTACTTATTTAATTATTTATTTACTTATTTACCCACTTATTTTATTTATTTATTTACTAATTTATTTGCTTATTTACCTACTTATTTATTTATTTGCTTGCTTGTTTTCTCATTTATTAACTTATTTTATTTATTTATTTACTAATTTATTTGCTTATTTACTTATGTACCTACTAGTTTTTATTTGTTTACTTGTTTGTTTACTTATTTACTAATTTATTTACTTATTTACCTACTTATTTTATTTATTTACTTATTTATTTGCTAATTTATTTACTTATGTACCTATTTATTTATTTATTTACTTGTTTGATTGTTCACTTGTTTACTTATTTATTTAACCTTTTTTTACTTACCTATTTACTTATTTACCTACTTATTTACCTTGTGTACTTTCTTATTTACTTATTTAAATACTTATTTACCTACTTACTCATTTGATTTATTTACATATTCATTTACTAACCTACTTATTTGTTTGATTTATTTACTTAAGTATTTACTTATTTACTTATTTACCTACCTGCTTATTTACCTACTTATTTTGTTTATCTACTTTCTTATTTACTTATTTAATCATTTATTTACTTATTTACCTACTTATTTTATTTATTTACTTACTTATTTACTTATTTATTTACCCCATTCCTGTCGTCCTTCTATTTTTCCTTCCTTCCCAGTGCAAATTCTGCTTCTCTGTGTGTTGTTTTCCTGCATCTGTGCTTTACATCTGTCCTGTGTTTGTCCCTCAGAGCACCAGAACTACTTTGGCGTGGATGAGAACTTGGGTCCGGTGGCCATCAGCGTCCGTAGAGAGAAACTGGATGATGGGAAGGACAAAGAGACAGCGCAGTATAACTATCGCATCACCTTCAGGACCAGTCAGGTACTTCAATTAATCAACCGCTATTAGGGCTGCAAGATATTGGAAAAGCGGCTCAGTGGTCGCTGCTGGTTTGAGTCCCGGCTGAGCCAGTTGTCATTTCTGTGTGAAGTTTGCGTGTTCTCCCTATGTTGGCATGGGTTTTCTCCGGGTGCTCCGGTTTCCCCCATGCACAGTCCAAACACATGCGCTATAGGGGAAATTAATAAACTAAATTGGCCGTAGTGTGTGTGTATGTGAATGAGTGTGTATTTCCCAGTACTGGGTTGCGGCTAGAAGGGCATCCGCTGCTTAAATAGTTGATGGTTCATTCTACTGTGGCAACCCCTGATTAATAATGAGCTAAGCTGAAGGAAAAAGAATGAATGGTGACTTATTTATTGTCACATTGCAAAAATCAATAGTTCTTATTCATGCATTTATTTATTAATTCTTTCATTCATTTACAATGACAGTAACCAAAATGTTCATGAAAATAAACTTACAATAAACTAATATAATACATGTCCTTATTGGAATTATTATTTCCTTAATATTTATAGTTAATCATTTCAATCCATCAGTTGATTAGAGAGTCAAGTGCATCGTCTCATCCTTTCTATATGCTGGAAATATTTAATATTGACCAATGCAACAGGCAGACTTTCAATCATTTCCTGTCTGTAATCAAGTGTCTCGTCTCATTAAAACTCGGCCTTTGATCTTCATCTTCTAACGGCACTCATTCACAATTAAACTGAATTAGGAAGCCACAGACACACTCACATGAATCAAAATATCTTGAAATGGACTCTCGTTCTTCACATCAGTCTAAAAGGCTTTTACTTTATAAGTGAACGAGCAGAATAAAGGGCTGAGACTCTTTTCTCCAGACGAAAGCACAGCCTTCTGGCTATAATTTAATATGCCAGAAGATCTATGCATTTTTTAAAAATAAAAGTTAAATTTTCTTATAGCACTTACGCCCTATTCACACGGGGCGTCAGCGTCAACGCTTCCCATTCACTTTGAATGGGTGACGTCAGGCGTTGCCGAACTGCATTGTGGATCCGTCGGCGCCGCTTCAGAAGCGTTCCTCGCTGCAGAAGTTGGGACCAGCTCAACTTTTCAAGCGCCGACGGAAGCGTCAGCCAATCAGATCGCTGTATGCAAATACACCAGCTCAGACAGTGGCTTATTGCTGACTGAATTTCATTGGCTGACGCTTCTATGACGATCGTTTCAGCTCCAACTTCAGACACGCCCTCTGTCAAGCGTTGACGCTGAAGCCCCGTGTGAATAGGGCATTAAGGTCAAACTCTTGAATAGTATTTTAAGTGGTCTAGTAAAAAAACACTAAAACTACAACAAAACCATCTGCTAAATAGCTAAATGTGCTGCTTTGTCATCAAATAATAAAAATTTTGATGTGCATTTAGAGTTTTGTAAAGTCGTTGTATAATGATGGTTTGTTCTGTAGACGATCAAAAAATATAGCTTAAAGGGGCTAATAATTTTGACCTTAAAATGGTGTTTAAAAAATTAAAAACTGCTTTTATTCTAGCCGAAATAAAACAAATAAGACTTTCTCCAGAAGAAAAAACATTATCAGACATACTGTGAAAATGTTCTTGCTCTGTTAAACATTATTTAGGAAATATTTAAAAAAGAAAAGAAAATTCAAAGGGGGGCTAATAATTCTGACTTCAACTGTTGTATATAGTGTTTATTAAGTGTTTTATTATAGATGAATGTAAGAAAAACATCCAAAATACACTTAAGTATTGCTTTTTGGTCACATTCTATCAATTTGTGTCTGTATATTTAAATTAGCCTCATTTGCATATTTAACATAACATCTGAGAAAACTAATACAAAAGTAACATAATTGATCTTTTATCATATATACACTGACCACTTTATTAGGTACACCTGTCCAACTACTCGTTAACACCAATATCTAATCAGCCAATCACATGGCAGCAACTCAATACATTTAGGCATGTAGACATGGTCTAGACGATGTGCTGCAGTTCAAGTCGAGCATCAGAATGGGAAAGAAAAGTGATATAAGTGACTTTGAACTTGGCAAGGTTGTTGGTGCCAGACGGGCTGGTCTGAGTATTTCAGAAACTGCTGATCTACAGAGATTTTCACGCACAACCATCTCTAGGGTTTACAGAGAATGATCTGAAAAAGAGGAAATATCCAGTGAGCGGCAGTTCTGTGGGCGCAAATGCCTTGCTGATGCCAGAGGTGAGAGGAGAATGGCCAGACTGGTTCCAGCTGACAGAAAGGCAACAGCAACTCGAATAAGCACTCGTTGCAACCGAGGTCTGCAGAAGAGCATCTCTGAACACACAACACGTCCAACCTTGAGGCGGATGGGCTACAGCAGCAGAAGACCACACCGGGTGCCACTCCTGTCAGCTAAGAACAGGAAACTGAGGCTACAATTCACAAAGACTCACCAAAACTGGACAATAGAAGATTGGAGAAACGTTGCCTGCTCTGATGAGTCTCCATTTCTGCTGACACATTCAGATGCTCGGGTCAGAATTTGGCCTCAACACCATGAAAGCATGGACCCATCCTGCCTTGTATCAAGGGTTCAGGCTGGTTTTGATGATTTAATGGTGTGAGGGAGATTTTCTTGGCACACTTTGGGTTCATAAGTACCAGTTGAGCATCGAGTCAACGCCACAGAATACCTGAGTATTGTTGATGACCATGTCCATCCCTTTATGACCACAGTGTACTCATCTTCTGATGGCTACTTCCAGCAGGATAACGCACCATGTCAAAACGTGAATCATCTCAGACTGGTTTCTTGAACATGACAATGAGTGCACTGTTCTCAAATGGCCTCCACGGTCACCAGAGCTCAATCCAATAGAGCACCTTTGGGATGTGGTGAAACGGGAGATTGGTATCATGGATGTGCAGCCGACAAATCTGCAGCAACTGTGTGATGCTATCATGTCAATATGGAGCAAAATCTCTGAGGAATACTTCCAGTACCTTGTTGATTCTCCGCCAAGAAAGATTTAGGGTGCTTTCACACCTGCCTAATTTAGTTCGATTAAATCGCACTAGAGTCCGCCCTGGAGCGGTTCGTTTGTGGTGAGAATATGATCCGTACTAAAACAGGTCCAACCACAAAAAGTACTGTGCGTTTTGGACTAATTCAGCTGCCGTAGGCCGATGCACTGTGCATTATGAGTTCATTGGCATTTTCCCGCACGTGAATTCTGACCAATTAATAAGCAGTTTAGGAAATATGTTCAACAACATCTGGCCAATGAGTGATGTGGATTTTGTCAGATGACTGCATTTTGGTTCATTTCAACTGGTTCAGACCAAAGCCAGCAGTGTGGTGTGAAAACGACCCAAAGATGGCAGAAGATGCAACAATGTATCATTTATTGCGCTTGGTCCGGATCAAATGAAGCGAACTACAGATGTGAAAGCACCCTAAGTTGCAGATCTGAAGCAAGTGTGCCGCAAGCCTGCGTTTGAGTGAAGGTCTCGGCCGTTAGATCCCTAGGGGCTGGCTGCAGTACAAGTCATAAAGCCCGCCTCCTCCGTGTTAATGAAGGAGACTTGAGCCCAAATAAAAAAAATTATTACACTTGCAATAAAATGTCCTGAAAGATGGTTCTGGTGGATTAAGGCGCTGGTTATTGTGCTGAAATAGTTGCAGATCTTCATTTTTGTAAACAGTTTGTTTTTAGCAGTAATTTAATGCTGGGCGTGTCATTGTGATTGACAGCTGTGATTGACAGTTTCTCAAAGCAGCGCGTCTGAGCTTCGGCAGGAGACTGAAGTGTTATTATTCGATTTCTGTGTTATTTTACCATGACAAAATGAGTTCAGCAGTAAACTATAGTTTCTGACATACATGATCCTGGTGGAACATTGTTTATTCGCTAAGGTCAGGGCTTTTTTCGGGCTTTATTAGTTTGCTGATACACGTCTAACCACCCAGATAGCAAAATACACTCGGGCCAGTTCCGGCTAGATTCTCGCTTGCCGGAGACTTACCCCTCAGACTGACTACCTCTGCTGGACCTACTCCGGATGCCTGGACTCACTGCCCGATTCCAGCCCGAGTCAATCGAGCCAGATGAGATGCGGCGGCCGAGCGAGCCGGCGCTGCCGCTTGCACGCCGGAATCAGCCCGCGACGCCGCGAGTATGTTATAGCCTATATAAAACCCTCATATTTGTTAACGTTATTACATCCATTTGTGTTGATATGACAGCAAACGCATGCTGAGAAGTTCGGGGGGCGTGGTTGATTTTACATAAAGCGTTTGGTTGGAAGCTCGACTCCGCTCATTTTCGCGGCTCCTCCTCTGGCTCCATCAGACAGTCCTTCTGCGCATGTCAAGGCTCCAATTTCAGCAGTCTTTTGCGACAGTTTGTGCCTGTCAAGCAGGCGTTTTGCCCTCAAGGCGTTCAATGGGAAAAGGGGCTGTCGAGTCGTCCATATTTTTTACAGTCATTGATCTGAAGGCAAAAGGGGGTCCAACCCAGTACTAGTAAGGTGTACCTAATAAAGTGGCCGGTGAGTGTATATAACTTAAATAACTTGACATAGTACTATCAGTATGTTAGTTAGTATGTTTTAAGCATGTCTGGGTTGTTTCTAAAACAGTATTAAAATTCACATTTGGAAGAAGTTAAACTGATCTAAGCATCCAAAGCCTGCAGTTTGTCACCTCTGTATAAGTTTTTGTTCACGTTATATAATATTTCAGTTTCTCATCAAATTTTCAGACCAATCACATGCTGTCTAGTGTCTGACATGCCCCGCCCCCTTCTTCTCATTTGCATTTTATTTGATGTCCTTGCGCTTGACCACTCACTGGCAGAGCTGTGATAAAAACTAAATGCTATTGGCTGTTTTCTTTAAAAAATGGGAGGATCTTCTGGATTTCCCGCCCTCTCTTCATACTTCAGTTGAGATTACGTCAAACATTGAATTAAAAAGCGCATTTCAAAGCACTTCACATGACCTTTAATGTTTAAACGTTCCTCCTCTTCAGTGTCTTCGCTGTTGAATGCATGCGTGTGTTTATTGTACATCTCTTTAATCCATTCATTTATGATCACTCCTTATTGTTTCCCCTCAGTTGACCACCCTGCGCGGGGCGATTCTGGAGGATGCTGTTTCCTCCACGGCAAGGCACGGGACAGCCCGCGGGCTCCCACTGAAGGAGGTGCTGGAGTATGTGGTGCCGGAGCTGAACATCCAGTGTCTCCGACTGGCCCTCAACTCTCCCCGGGTCCCAGAGCAGCTGCTTAAACTGGACGAGCAGGGGGTCAGTAACACCACACTCAGATTAGAGTAAATGTAATATCACAGTGTTGTGATTTCTTCTTTAAAATATGTTCTTGTTAAATTTTTGGGTAAAAAAAAAAAAAATTTTCCCCCAATGAACGCAGTGGGCCCTATCATACACCCAGCGCAAGGCGCAACGCAATTGTTGTTTGCTAGTTTCAGCTTGGCGCAAGAGTCGTTTTGACGTTTTGCGCCACGCTGTTTAAATAGCAAATGCATTTGCGCTCATATGCGCGCCAATAGGCGTTCTAGTCTTAAAAGGGAGGCGTGTTGAGGTGCATTGCTTACGCGTCGCTATTTTGAGAAACTAAAATAGATTTTTCAATAGACCACAACAAAGCCGGTCTATTGTCCAGCGCAGAGCGCGTTAGTTGTGCGCCTCACTTACACACTGCTTAATACACACAAGACGTAGAGCAATATGCAAATATCTTCACATATGAAATAGAATTACAATATTAAGGATATATATAGGATATAATAAGAATATGTATATAGGATATAAATACAAAGGATTAAAATATTACAAAACATATTGTTTTCTAGCCTACATAAATGTAAAAACCACTGCTTTCATTTTTTCTTCATCTCGGGAGGCTTTTTCAGTTTATTCGCGACTATTTGCTTTTGTATAATGTTATTATTATTTGCAGTATTATTTATTATATGCATATTTATATTTGTTTTATTAAAAGACAAGCTTAGATTTGCCCACCTGTCAGGTTTTAGACCATATGGGGCACAGCACGTGTGTAGGGTATGCTGAGCTAGTGTTGTTCTCATACTGATACACTTCCGGTGACCTGTTATTGTGAACTTTTTTCCATTTTATACAGTTCCTTTTACAGCATCGATGTTGTAATGTCATTAAAATACATTCAGTTAAATGAACTTTGTCATTTATTTAGTTGCTCAATCGTAAAACGAGACAAAAAGTCAGAATTGGCAGGCTAGCGCAGAAGCTTCATTGAATATACTGGGGTAAAATAAATGCTCGTATTATAAAGACATGGCAGGGGAAATGTAATGCAGTGCTTCTTGTACAATCTGAAACCCACTTTATATCGGATATCACTTAGCTAGTGGAGATTGCTGATTTTTAAAGAAAACAGACCTTAAGGGCCCTATCATACACCTGGCGCAGTAGTCTTTTGAGTCAAAAAAAAGAGTCGTTTTGAGGCGTTGCGCTCCACTGTTTAAATAGCAAATGCATTAGCGCTCATTTGTGCGCCCATAGGCGTTCTGGTCTAAAAAGGAAGGTGTTCTGAGGCGGACCGCTGGCGCGTTGCTATTTTGAGAAACTATAATAGATTTTTCATTAGACCAAAACAAACCCGGTCTAAACTCCGGCGCAGAGTTGCACCTCGCTTACACACTGCTTAATACACACAAGAGAGCAATAGGCAAATATCTTTACATATGAAAAAATTTAAATATTAAGGATATATATAGGATATAATAAGAATAGATATAGAATATAAATATAAAGGATTAAAATATTACAAAATATATTATTTTCTAGCCTATATAAATATGAAAAATCACTGCTTTTATGTCTTCTTCATCTCGGGAGGCTTTTTCAGTTCATTCATAACAATTTGCTTTTGTATAATGTTATTATTATTAGCAGTATTATTTATTATATCCAAATTTATATTTGTTTTTATTAAAAACAAGCTTAGATTTGCCCACCTGTCAGGTTTTAGACCATATGGGGCACATCATGTGTTTTAGGATATAACTCAGGTTTTTGAGCACATTTTGTTATTATTATTAATTTATTCATTTGCTGGAAATTAAAACTGAATTTAGAAATAGTTTTGAAACGAATATTTGCGCTTAACAAACAAAAGTATTTATTTATAGACTAATTGATGTCTGTACGTAAAGGTTTCCCTATCCAAGAGCGAAAGTGAAAGTAGATCCATTATCTCTCATTCTCACGCAGTAGATGCTCTGTTTAACTGTTATCTGTTGAAAAAACTGTCAACTGTTAACTGTTTGCTTGTAAAAAATGCTCATTTTTTCCACTTAGACTTACTTTGCGTCCTGTAAATAGCGATTGCGCTCTTGGCGCGACGCAGCTGACTCTTAAAGGGAATGGGAGATGAGACTCTAATTGGTTTATTCTCAAAACACACCTATAACTCATTAAGAAAATAAACTCAACCCTCTTAGACCATGCGCCACGGTGCAAAGCGGATTTTCCCGTCCTTAAATTAGGAAAAATGCGTTCTGACACGCCCTGAAAGCGTTTGCGCCCTGCGTTTTGCGCTCTGCGCATTTTACGTCAAAATAGAGCCCTTAATGTGCCGGTTTTTGAATTGGCATACAGTTCGCCGGTAGTGCTTAACCCAGGTTACTGGCAAATTAAAAGTCCCATTAGCATGCTTCGGCATATAGCCTATTAGAATATAACTCAGGTTTTTGAACACACTTCGTTATTATTGTTTATTTATTCATTTGCTGGAAATTAGAACTGAATTTAGAAATAGTTTTGAAACAAATATTTGCGCTTAACAAACAAAATTAATTATAGGCTAATGGATATCTGTGTGTACAAGGTTTCCCTATCCGCGAGAGCGAAAGTGAAAGTAAATAATGAGGAGGCTCATCTCTCATTCTCGCGCTGTGGATGCTCTGTTTAACTGTTTTCTCTCTAGTGAAGTTTTCAGTTTTTCCAATTACAAAGTCCACCATGTAAATAGCAAATGCGCTATGGCGCGCTGCAACTGGCTCTTAAAGGGAATGGGAGATGAGACTCTTATTGGTTTATTCTCAAAACACACCTATAACTTAATAAGAGAATAAGCTCAACCCTGTTAGACCCTGCGCCATGGCGCAAAGTGGATAATTTTATGGTTATTCATCAGATTACCAATAGTAAAAATAAATAAATAAATAATGTTAATATATATTTATTAAATAATAAATAAATAAACAATACATTGTAAAACAAACTTTTGTTTTTCTCTAATATTAAACAATAAACATTTAAGAAATTGTAAATTACTACAGCAGTAAATATATTGTTGTTCTTAATTTTATGTCAAACCATCAACCATTGATTTTGATGGAAAACCACAGGGAGCATTTATTTAATCCAAGCCTTTAAATCATTTAATCATAATGCGATTTTGCTATTTTATTTAGATTAATTGCACGGCCCTGGTGAATAATGCACTTTAGTATATTACCCATGAATCATAATTTGGAGCATTTTAAGACACTTCTGATATAAAAAACTAAAAATAATAAATACAATAAAATTATGTGCTTAACAATTACTAAAAACCGCAAACAACAAGAGCAAAACAAAGACAAATGAAAAGCTTTAACATGATAGAATAGAGCTGTTTTCCCCACGGAGCACCTGTCAGACAGTTTCAGATAATGTCTCGGTTCTGAGGGAGAAAATCAGCCGATATCATGTTAAGAGCGGATCAATACCAGCTCCAGTCGCTCATTGATTTCCCGCCTCCGAGTGGAAATGTGATTGGGGACAGACTCAAATATCTGACATTACATCTGATTTCATAAACAGAGACGCTGCTTTCCCACACTCTCAATAACCTTTCATTATCACCATAAAGAGAAGTGTTTATTGTAGATCGCTCCAGTTATAAATATACACCGGGTGTCAAATGAGACCCAAACACTGTCATTTCTTTTTGTCTATCATACACTACCAGAGGCCAGTGGATCAGTTGGCATTTCTGTGTGGAGTTTGCATGTTCTCCCCGTGTTGGCGTGGGTTTCCACCGGGTGCTCCTTCACAGTCGCTATCACAGTCAACACATGCGCTATAGGTGAATCAAACTAAATTGGGTGTAGTGTACGAATGCATATGTGAATGGATGTTTTCCAGTACTGGGTTGCAGCTGGAAGGGGTGTAAAACATATGCTGGAATAGTTGGTGGTTCGTTCTGCTGTAGCAACCACTGATAAATAAGGGATTAAACCAAAGGAAAATGAATGAACACTACTGACTTTTGCTAATGAATTGAACACTTGATTTTTTAAAGATATGATGTATTAGATTAATCAAAATAAGTAACTGTAGAAGTGTTAATGATCAGAGAATGCTGAAAACTTAATTATATGTATAAAAAATTACTGTTTTACTGATGATAATAGTAAGAAGTATGCAGGGCTCGAAATTGCGACCATTTACCTATGCGACTTCAAAATATATTTGGGAGTATGTGTGTGAGTGCAAAAAATTGTTGTGTGTGACCAGTTTTCTCTGCACTTGAAACGCGAAACGCAGCGTTCAGGAATGGTTCAAAACAGTTGTCATGTCAACTTGCTGCAGTAAACAAAGCCAAGTCCGTAATGCTTGCCCCGCCTTTGCGCTCTTCTTATTGGCCCACCACTGCTCTAGCACTAAAATATCAGCTGTCAATCACTCAGTCAATGCCTTCTGGCTTGGGATGACAGAGAGAGCTACTACCACGAAAAACTGTAAAGCGCTGAAGATGAGAATGAAGATTACACTGACAGATTTAGTTTTAGAAACCATGACATCTAAAGTTACAAATAATGACACATCTTAGTAGTGATCATGTGCTGAATGTTAATCCACCATCTACTTTTCGAAGAGTGGATAAAGACTTCCGTTGACTTCATGTCCGCTATGAAAAGTCTTTGGGATGGAGTTTTCAGGTAACTGTTTGCCACATCTAGCACAAGAGCTTCTGTTTAATCCCGCATATAATCGCCAGATGCTGTCCGCCGTGCAACGGCAGCTATATGTCAAATTTAACACCACGTACACCATCACAAACGGGCTTACACTGAGTAAACTAATATCGCTACTCATGGAAACTATTGCTATTTACATGATGTATGCATATAATAAGGTACAGTATATGTCAAAAACATCAGTGCAATATTAGACACCACCCGTGAGAACAGCACAGTTATACCGTTAACAGATTCATGTCAAGCAGTGTGTGCAGGCCGGTGAGCGTTCCGTGT